AGATCCCAGAAGCGATCCAATTAGCTTCCTCTGAAACTAGCCCTGCAGAATTAAGCCCTGAAGAGCAAAAGCTTTTCGAGGACATTCAGAAAAAACTATCCAAGAAAGATAAAAAGAAGCGACCCGCTATTCCCGAAGAGTTCATTAAGCAAGAAACGGTTCAGGTTATTCTAGAAGAGAGTAAAGGTAATGAAGCAATTAATGTCCCCTCTTTAGTTGAAGAACTAACCGATGCAGTTAAACCCGTAGTTAAGCAGGACACGATTGCGCAAAATGTTTCCCAGGACGAGTCCGTGATCTCTAGTGTCAAGTCAATCGAACACAGTAAGACAGACGTTTGTTATCAAGAGTCCGTTAAAGAAGTATTGCCAGTTTCGGAAACTCCTGTTCCAACCAAAGAAGAAGTGCAGCTTGATACTCAGGCAATTCCTCTTCCAGAATCCGAGAATTGGCTTTGCAACATTTCTCAAGACTCGTCTTTAATCTCCTCCGTCAAGTTAATCGATCACACGAAGTCAGACATTCTTTATCATGAGTCTATAATTAAAGTTGTCCCTGTTCCTCCTCAAGAAGAAGTGCCAGTTGAAAATACATGTGAAACTCAGTCAAATCCTGCTCCTACTAAAATCGCTAATCAAATTATTTCTGCCCAACCAAGCGCATTAATTGCTGACGCATTTGTGGCTAACACGGTAAGCACTTTAAGTATAATCACTAATGTTGAGCCACTTTCTCCCCTTGAAAAAATATTTGAAATTCCCAAATTTGATTTATCTACATTTAATATTGCTGAGGGTAATTATCACATAATCAATTCTAAAGGTAAAGAAATCGAACCAGTAAATTCTACAGAACCTGAACCTATACATTCACTAAAGACGGTAAGCTTTGGCGATGGTTCGGAAACTAGTAATAAAACTAACGTCACCGACATGGGTTCAACAACAACACCGGTTTCTGTAGCAACTCAACAAACAGAAAATGTCCCTACCATATATAACTTTGAGGTCCCCAAATTTGACATAATTTCGCTTAATAAGGCTGAGGCTAGGCAGAAAATATTGGAAGCCACAGAGGTTCAAGTCGAAATCACTTCTGAAGAAACAACAACTACTGACCCAATTGTTGAACCAGTTCCCAAGCCACAAAACGAAGTTACGCTTGTTGAAGAAGTGGTCAAGTCTGGGTCAATTGTTGAAGCTCCGATAGTGGATGAAACCAAGACAATTACAACAGTTACCACCACAATTCTGACTACTGAGTCTACCAGCGAAACTACTCTTTCTGAGGAGCCCAAGCAAACAGTTGAACCGGTGAAGATACCTGAGCAACCAAAGAAGCCAGCATACGCCGGTCTGCCCGTGGATGACTCTTCCAGCTCGTGGATGGATGTTTTGGACGAACCCATGAACTTCTCTGATGACGAAGAAGAACCCATTCCTGAACCACAAAAGGAAACCATGGTCGTCGAAGAAGTTGTAAGGCCTGAGTCGGTTGTTGAAGCTCCAGTTGTAAATGACACCAAGACTATTACAACAGTTACCACCACAATTGTTACAACTGAGTCTACCAGCGAAACTACTCTTCCTGAGGAGCCCAAGCAAGCGGTTGAACCGGTGAAGATACCTGAGCAGCCAAAGAAGCCAGCATACGCCGGTCTGCCCGTGGATGACTCTTCTAGCTCGTGGATGGATGTTCTGGATGAACCCATGAACTTCTCTGATGATGAAGAAGAAGCTCTTCCTGAGCCGGTCGTCGAAGAAGTCGAGAAGCCTGAGACAGTTATTGAAACAATTCCTGAGCCACAAGTAGAAGTAACGCTCGTTGAAGAAGTTGTCAAGTCTGAGCCAATTGTTGAAGCTCCGTTAGTGGATGAAACCAAGACAATTACAACAGTTACCACCACAATTGTGACTACTGAGTCTACCAGCGAAACTACTCTTCCTGAGGAGCCCAAGCAAACGGTTGAACCGGTGAAGATACCTGAGCAGCCAAAGAAACCAGCATACGCCGGTCTGCCCGTGGATGACTCTTCTAGCTCGTGGATGGATGTTCTGGATGAACCCATGAACTTCTCTGATGATGAAGAAGAAGCTGTTCCTGAGCCAGAAGTAGAAGTTTCGCTCGTTGAAGAAGTTGTCAAGTCTGAGCCAATTATTGAAGCTCCGATTGTGGATGAAACCAAGACAATTACAACCGTTACCACCACAATTGTGACTACTGAGTCTACCAGCGAAACTACTCTTCCTGAGGAGCCCAAGCAAACGGTTGAACCGGTGAAGATACCTGAGCAACCAAAGAAGCCAGCATACGCCGGTCTGCCCGTGGATGACTCTTCTAGCTCGTGGATGGATGTTCTGGATGAACCCATGAACTTCTCTGATGATGAAGAAGAAGCTGTTCCTGAGCCGGTCGTCGAAGTAGTCGAGAAGCCTGAGACAGTTATTGAAACAATTCCCGAGCCACAAGTAGAAGTAACGCTCGTTGAAGAAGTTGTCAAGTCTGAGCCAATTGTTGAAGCTCCGTTAGTGGATGAAACCAAGACAATTACAACAGTTACCACCACAATTGTGACTACTGAGTCTACTAGCGAAACTACTCTTCCTGAGGAGCCCAAGCAAACGGTTGAACCGGTGAAGATACCTGAGCAGCCAAAGAAGCCAGCATACGCCGGTCTGCCTGTGGATGACTCTTCCAGCTCGTGGATGGATGTTGTGGATGAACCCATGAACTTCTCTGATGACGAAGAAGAACCCATTCCTGAATCACAAAAGGAAACTACGGTCGTCGAAGAAGTCGTGAAGCCTGAGTCGGTTGTTGAAGCTCCAGTTGTAAATGACACCAAGACTATTACAACAGTTACCACCACAATTGTTACAACTGAGTCTACCAGCGAAACTACTCTTCCTGAGGAGCCCAAGCAAGCGGTTGAACCAGTGAAAATACCTGAGCAGCCAAAGAAACCAGCATATGCCGGACTGCCCGTGGATGACTCCTCCAGCTCGTGGATGGATGTTCTGGATGAACCCATGAACTTCTCTGATGACGAAGAAGAACCAGTTCCTGAGCAACAAAAGGAAGTTACGGTCGTCGAAGAAGTCGTGAAGCCTGAGCCATTTGTTGAACCAGTTTCTAAGCCTATCATTGAAGCTCTTGTTGTGGATAATACCAAGACTTTTACAACAGTTACCACAACAACTGTTACCACTGAGTCTACTAGCAAAACGAGTATTCCCGAAGCTTCCGCTCTTGTCGAAGAGGAGATTACCTCTGTGGAAGCGCTGACAATAGGCAATGAGGTAGAGAAAGTTAATCAATTGGAGAAACCCCTGGAGGAACCTATTGATACCTGGTCCAGCGTTTTGGAGGACACAATTCCTAACACTGGAAGCATTGGCTTCACTTCAACCCTATCAGCGGATGCTCCTGAGTTTACTCCTTCTTATTTGAGACATACTTACTCCGACCAAACGCATACGTTCCTTGCAAATGAAAGAGTGTACAACGAATTTATTCCAAGGAATAGGACAGAGCAAACGATTGTTCCACAATCAAAGCCCAAAAAAGCTAAGCCATCAAAGCGACAGAACAAGAAGGTGGAACCACAGGAGGAAATTCTCAATGTTCAGCCTGTACAGGAGACATACGTTCCAGAACCGATACAAATAGTGGAAGAGGTGGAGAATATTTGGACGAAGAACAGAGATGGAAAATCCTATGCTGATGTGCTACTTAACTCTGGCGTCACTGACGAAGCTGTCGCTACAACTGACTCACAGCCCCAGAAAGAAGTCCCGGCCACACCAGCTATAGTCAGCACCAAGACCCAAGAGCGCAAGAAAAAGACGAAGCCCGAGAAACGACCTATAGTTGAAAAGAGTATTCAACTGTCTGCACCAAGCACTGAAAGTGACAAATCTAAGCCGAGCAGCGACACGGAACAGTCCAAGCTTACCACCGAAAGTGAACTATCTAAACCAACAACAGAAAGTTCAAAGGAACCATCTTCCGACGAGAGGGATGTTTCTAGCACCACCGAACTGACTTGGTCGGCTCTTGTGCGTAGGCCTGGTGAATGGTCAGATACAACAGTAACTAAGAAAGAAGTTACCCACGCACCTGCCTTAATTGAGGAAAAACCTCGTAAGAAAGAAAAGGAGGAGACCAAAAAGCCAGCAAAGGCCAAGAAGACTAAAAAGTCAAAGAAACCAATCGTTGAACCAGTTTCCACCACATCTGAAGACGAACAACCTGAACCCGCGCCAGTACCAAAAGAGGCTTTACCTGTAGAGAAACCTGTAGAGACGAAACTGACAGAAGAACGGAATAAGAAGTCAGAGAGTAGCAATGCATTCTCCTGGGCCTCACTTGTCAAGAGACCGGGCGAATGGATCGACAACACTGTTACGCATATTAAGACTGCTGTAGCAACTTCAACAGACGTAAGGGAACCAACAAAAGACAATGATAAACCTCAAAGGCCCAAGAAGCAAAAGTCTAAGAAGAAACCCACTCCAGTGGCAGAACCTGAATCCGAAATTAGTAGTGAACCGGCGGAAGAAACTGTTGTTCAGCGCGAGGTCGAAGTTGAAAAGGCCATTCCTATCGAAAACACAGGAAATTCCTTCTCTTGGGCATCTTTGGTAAAGAAACCTGGCGAGTGGGTTGATGACATAGCCTCCCGTAAGAAGCCAGTTGAAGCCCTTAAAGAAGAGCGCAAGGAAGAGACGCAACCACGAAAAGAACGGAAACCTGCAAAACCAGAAGCCAAGCCTCAGTCTGAAAAAATCATCAAGCGCAAAGTCAAAGAGGAAACTCATGAGCCTAAAATCATTCAGTCGACATCAGATGATAGTGATGTTGTTGAGGTATTACAAAGTCAAGATGAAAATACAATTACATGGGCTAAAATCGCCAGTCAAATTGATCATATGACTGATTTGGCACCTAAGGCTAAGAAGGAGGTTCAGCCGATCCAAAAGACAGTCAAAAACGATCGTTATGAGAAACAGGCAAAGACAATGGTTCGTGCCATATCTCCAGATGTCAGTCAAGTTCAGAAAGAAAGCGGTCAGTCCTGGTCCTCAGTGGTTAGTCATCAAGTTACTAATTTTATAGAAGCAGAAAAGATTAAACCATCACCTAAATTTACTACGGACAAGGCCAAGCTCAAATCTAATTCTCCACCAAAAGTCACGAAGTTGGAGGAACCATTGCAAGACCCAGAATACTTCCCAGTTTCCAAACTACAAGAAAACAAGACACAGAGGTCATGGGCTGAAATGATTGACGATGGGTCGGAGGACGTGGTGGTTGAACAGAAATCGTGGAAGGAACTGATCGAAGACGAAGTAGAGATTCCACTTCTTCCTGAAAATGGGGAAGAGGCCAACATAAAACAGATCATTAAAACCATCCAGGAAATGAAGTCAACCAATGAAGAAAAAATCGGCCTCGGAGAAACTAAAACGGTGACAAAAGTCACAATCATAACAGAATCAGAACCCTCGCCACAAGAGGACTTGGTTATCGAAAAAATTACGAAAACTGAGCCATGTGTCCAATCTTCAACTGCTGACGAAAATAAAACGGTGACAACTGTTACCACCACAATTGTAACTACTGAGTCTACCAGCGAAACTACTCTTCCCGAGGAGCCAAAGCAATCTGTTGAGGCGGTGAAGATACCTGAGCAGCCAAAGAAGCCAGCATACGCCGGTCTGCCTGTGGATGACTCTTCCAGCTCGTGGATGGATGTTCTGGATGAACCCATGAACTTCTCTGATGACGAAGAAGAAACTGTACCTGAGCCGGTCGTCGAAGAAGTCGTGAAGCCTGAGCCAATTGTTGAACCAGTTCCTGAGCCAGAAGTGGAAGTTTCGCTCGTTGAAGAAGTTGTCAAGTCTGAGCCAATTGTTGAAGCTCCGATAGTGGATGAAACCAAGACAATTACAACAGTTACCACCACAATTGTGACTACTGAATCTACCAGCGAAACTACTCTTCCTGAGGAGCCCAAGCAAGCGGTTGAACCGGTGAAGATACCTGAGCAGCCAAAGAAGCCAGCATACGCCGGTCTGCCCGTGGATGCCTCTTCCAGCTCGTGGATGGATGTTTTGGATGAACCCATGAACTTCTCTGATGATGAAGAAGATACAGTTCCTGAGCCGGTCGTCGAAGAAGTCGAGAAACCTAAGACAGTTATTGAAACAATTCCGGAGCCACAAGTGGAAGTTACGCTCGTTGAAGAACTTGTCAAGTCTGAGCCAATTGTTGAAGCTCCTATTGTGGATGAAACCAAGACTATTACAACCGTTACCACCACAGTTGTGACTACTGAGTCTACCAGCGAAACTACTCTTCCTGAGGAGCCCAAGCAAACGGTTGAACCGGTAAAAATACCTGAGCAGCCAAAGAAACCAGCATATGCTGGACTGCCCGTGGATGACTCTTCCAGCTCGTGGATGGATGTTTTGGATGAACCCATGAACTTCTCTGATGATGAAGAGGAACAACTGCCTGAGCCACAAAAGGAAACTACTGTCGTCGAAGAAGTCGTGAAGCCTGAGCCAATTGTTGAACCAGTTCCTGAGCCAGAAGTGGAAGTTTCGCTCGTTGAAGAAGTTGTCAAGTCTGAGCCAATTGTTGAAGCTCCTATTGTGGATGAAACCAAGACTATTACAACCGTTACCACCACAATTGTGACTACTGAGTCTACCAGCGAAACTACTCTTCCTGAGGAGCCCAAGCAAACGGTTGAACCGGTAAAGATACCTGAGCAGCCAAAGAAACCAGCATATGCTGGACTGCCCGTGGATGACTCTTCCAGCTCGTGGATGGATGTTTTGGATGAACCCATGAACTTCTCTGATGATGAAGAAGAAGCTGTTCCTGAGCCGGTCGTCGAAGAAGTCAAGAAGCCTGAGACAGTTATTGAAACAATTCCTGAGCCACAAGTAGAAGTAACGCTCGTTGAAGAAGTTGTCAAGTCTGAGCCAATTGTTGAAGCTCCGTTAGTGGATGAAACCAAGACAATTACAACAGTTACCACCACAATTGTGACTACTGAGTCTATCAGCGAAACTACTCTTCCTGAGGAGCCCAAGCAAGCGGTTGAACCGGTGAAGATACCTGAGCAGCCAAAGAAGCCAGCATACGCCGGTCTGCCCGTGGATGACTCTTCTAGCTCGTGGATGGATGTTCTGGATGAACCCATGAACTTCTCTGATGATGAAGAAGAAGCTGTTCCTGAGCCGGTCGTCGAAGAAGTCAAGAAGCCTGAGACAGTTATTGAAACAATTCCTGAGCCACAAGTAGAAGTAACGCTCGTTGAAGAAGTTGTCAAGTCTGAGCCAATTGTTGAAGCTCCGTTAGTGGATGAAACCAAGACAATTACAACAGTTACCACCACAATTGTTACAACTGAGTCTACCAGCGAAACTACTCTTCCTGAGGAGCCCAAGCAAACGGTTGAACCGGTAAAGATACCTGAGCAGCCAAAGAAACCAGCATATGCTGGACTGCCCGTGGATGACTCTTCCAGCTCGTGGATGGATGTTTTGGATGAACCCATGAACTTCTCTGATGATGAAGAAGAAGCTGTTCCTGAGCCGGTCGTCGAAGAAGTCAAGAAGCCTAAGACAGTTATTGAAACAATTCCGGAGCCAGAAGTAGAAGTTACGCTCGTTGAAGAAGTCGTGAAGCCTGAGTCGGTTGTTGAAGCTCCAGTTGTAAATGACACCAAGACTATTACAACAGTTACCACCACAATTGTTACAACTGAGTCTACCAGCGAAACTACTCTTCCTGAGGAGCCCAAGCAAACGGTTGAACCGGTAAAGATACCTGAGCAGCCAAAGAAACCAGCATATGCTGGACTGCCCGTGGATGACTCTTCCAGCTCGTGGATGGATGTTTTGGATGAACCCATGAACTTCTCTGATGATGAAGAGGAACAACTGCCTGAGCCACAAAAGGAAACTACTGTCGTCGAAGAAGTCGTCAAGTCTGAGCCAATTGTTGAACCAGTTCCTGAGCCAGAAGTGGAAGTTTCGCTCGTTGAAGAAGTTGTCAAGTCTAAACCAATTGTTAAAGCACCAGTTGTGGATGAGACCAAGACAATTACAGCAGTTACCACCACAATTGAGACTACTGAGTCTACCAGCGAAACAATTCCGGAGGAGCCCAAGCATACGGGTGAACCGGTGCAGATACCTGAGCAGCCAAAGAAATCGGAACCATTACCTGCAGATGCCAAGAAAAAGCCCACTAATGTTTGGGAACTGCACTCATCATATGCTGATGTTTTGAGGCACACGGTGGACTTTATCAACTTAGAACAGAAAAATGTTGAAGTACCAACTCAACCCCAACCAGTTAAAAGTCAACTAGCAAAAGAACCAGTAAAAACTCCAGAAATAAAGGAAAAGACCAAAGCTAAGAAAGAAAAGCCAGCGAAGAAGCCTAAAGATATTACCATTTTGACTTCTGAAGATAAAGTATTACCAATAGAAAGGGTTTCACCAAAGGATGAAATTAAAACCTCTTGGTCAGCGATGGTCGATGACGATTTAAAGGATAGCGTAGAAGCAAATCTTCCTAGTAACGGTACCACTTTGTGGTCTTCGATTGTCCGACAAGGTGTCCAGGAACCTTTTACAAAAATTACTCAGCATGATGATAACGATAATATAGCTGGAGAAAGTCCTTCCAACCAACAGCAATCGCATGACCTACATGACTTTATTTCCCACGAAAGAAAATCAGTAGTGATTGAAAAGACTAAGAAACAAAAACCAAAGAAGGAAAAGAAACCCGCTAAAACGGAATCTCTTGTTGAAGTGGTTACAACTGAGCCGGAGCGTTTTTCGGAGGTCACTACCATTGGCAATGAATTTAAGTCAGAGGAAGAACCAAAACTTCAATCAGTTGCAGAAAATTCGACAATAAATCCAGTGTCATGGTCATCCATTGTCTCCCAGACTGTAGAAGTAACTCCGATAATTTCAAAACCAAGAGTATCTGAAAAACCACATAAATCAGTAAAATCTACCGCCGTGCAAGACTTTATCAGTCAAGAACAAAACTACTCAACTGCTGTAAATGGAAAACACAAGAAACCAAAATCGAAGAAAGAAAATAAACTGGCCAAAGAGGAACACGGAGTTGAAGTGACTCCGCTAAAAGAAGACGTTTCAGACCACTCAATTACTGATGAACCTAATGCAAAATTGGGAGCTGATATTTCAGAGGAAGTTTTGCCATCGCAAGCCCTATCGTGGTCGTCCGTCGTTTTACAAACATCACAGACACTGTCTTGGTCGTCAATTGTTTCACAAGACGAATACTTCAACTCCTCAACAAACAATATTTCAACACCTACCGAAGAAAAGCCAAGGAAGCAGAAGGCTAAGAAGGAAAAGAAACCTAAGGTGGAACCTGTTCAAGAGCCCGTCACTGAGTCTGTTATTCCAGAGCCTGTTGTTGAACCCATTGTTGAAGAACCTGTTGTTGAGGTAACCACTGTTGTGGAAGTAGTTACACCAGAGCCACAAGCGGAACCCGCAGAGGTCTCCCCATCACAACCTTTGTCCTGGTCCTCTATTGTATCTCAAACAACGGAAGTCACTACACACGTAACAGAGACACGAGTCACCGATGAGCCCGAGGATCAGAAACCTACCGAAGAAAAGCCAAGGAAGCAGAAGGCTAAGAAGGAAAAGAAACCTAAGGTGGAACCTGTTCAAGAGCCCGTCACTGAGTCTGTTATTCCAGAGCCTGTTGTTGAACCCATTGTTGAAGAACCTGTTGTTGAGGTAACCACTGTTGTGGAAGTAGTTACACCAGAGCCACAAGCGGAACCCGCAGAGGTCTCCCCATCACAACCTTTGTCCTGGTCCTCTATTGTATCTCAAACAACGGAAGTCACTACACACGTAACAGAGACACGAGTCACCGATGAGCCCGAGGATCAGAAACCTACAGAAGAAAAGCCTAAGAAGCAGAAGGCTAAGAAGGAAAAGAAACCTAAGGTGGAACCCGTTCAAGAGCCCGTCGCTGAGTCTGTTATTCCAGAGCCTGTTGTTGATCCCATTGTTGATGTAACCATTGTTGAAGAACCTGTTGTTGAGGTAACCACTGTTGTGGAAGTAGTTACACCAGAGCCACAAGCGGAACCCGCAGAGGTCTCCCCATCAGAACCTTTGTCCTGGTCCTCTATTGTATCTCAAACAACGGAAGTCACTACACACGTAACAGAGACACGAGTCACCGATGAGCCCGAGGATCAGAAACCTACAGAAGAAAAGCCTAAGAAGCAGAAGGCTAAGAAGGAAAAGAAACCTAAGGTGGAACCTGTTCAAGAGCCCGTCACTGAGTCTGTTATTCCAGAGCCTGTTGTTGAACCCATTGTTGAAGAACCTGTTGTTGAGGTAACCACTGTTGTGGAAGTAGTTACACCAGAGCCACAAGCGGAACCCGCAGAGGTCTCCCCATCACAACCTTTGTCCTGGTCCTCTATTGTATCTCAAACAACGGAAGTCACTACACACGTAACAGAGACACGAGTCACCGATGAGCCCGAGGATCAGAAACCTACAGAAGAAAAGCCTAAGAAGCAGAAGGCTAAGAAGGAAAAGAAACCTAAGGTGGAACCTGTTCAAGAGCCCGTCACTGAGTCTGTTATTCCAGAGCCTGTTGTTGAACCCATTGTTGAAGAACCTGTTGTTGAGGTAACCACTGTTGTGGAAGTAGTTACACCAGAGCCACAAGCGGAACCCGCAGAGGTCTCCCCATCACAACCTTTGTCCTGGTCCTCTATTGTATCCCAAACAACGGATGTCACTACACAAGTAACAGAGACACGAGTCACCGATGAGCCCGAGGATCAGAAACCTACAGAAGAAAAGCCTAAGAAGCAGAAGGCTAGGAAGGAAAAGAAACCTAAGGTGGAACCCGTTCAAGAGCCCGTCGCTGAGTCTGTTATTCCAGAGCCTGTTGTTGAACCCATTGTTGAAGAACCTGTTGTTGAGGTAACCATTGTTGTGGAAGAAGTTACACCAGAGCCACAAGCGGAACCCGCAGAGGTCTCCCCATCACAACCTTTGTCCTGGTCCTCTATTGTATCTCAAACAACGGAAGTCACTACACACGTAACAGAGACACGAGTCACCGATGAGCTCGAGGATCAGAAACCTACAGAAGAAAAGCCTAAAAAGCAGAAGGCTAAGAAGGAAAAGAAACCTAAGGTGGAACCCGTTCAAGAGCCCGTCGCTGAGTCTGTTATTGCAGAGCCTGTTGTTGAACCCATTGTTGAAGAACCTGTTGTTGAGGTAACCACTGTTGTGGAAGAAGTTACACCAGAGCCACAAGCGGAACCCGCAGAGGTCTCCCCATCACAACCTTTGTCCTGGTCCTCTATTGTATCTCAAACAACGGAAGTCACTACACACGTAACAGAGACACGAGTCACCGATGAGCCCGAGGATCAGAAACCTACAGAAGAAAAGCCTAAGAAGCAGAAGGCTAAGAAGGAAAAGAAACCTAAGGTGGAACCCGTTCAAGAGCCCGTCGCTGAGTCTGTTATTCCAGAGCCTGTTGTTGATCCCATTGTTGATGTAACCATTGTTGAAGAACCTGTTGTTGAGGTAACCACTGTTGTGGAAGAAGTTACACCAGAGCCACAAGCGGAACCCGCAGAGGTCTCCCCATCACAACCTTTGTCATGGTCCTCTATTGTATCTCAAACAACGGAAGTCACTACACACTTAACAGAGACACGAGTCACCGATGAGCCCGAGGATCAGAAACCTACAGAGGAAAAGCCTAAGAAGCAGAAGGCTAAGAAGGAAAAGAAACCTAAGGTGGAACCCGTTCAAGAGCCCGTCGCTGAGTCTATTATTCACGAGCCTGTTAGTGAACCCATTGTTGAAGAACCTGTTGTTGAGGTAACCACTGTTGTGGAAGAAGTTACACCAGAGCCACTAGCGGAACCCGCAGAGGTCTCCCCATCACAACCTTTGTCCTGGTCCTCTATTGTATCTCAAACAACGGAAGTCACTACACACGTATCAGAGACACGAGTCACCGATGAGCGCGAGAATCAGAAACCTACAGAAGAAAAGCCTAAGAAGCAGAAGGCTAAGAAGGAAAAGAAACCTAAGGTGGAACCAGTTCAAGAGCCCGTCGCTGAGTCTGTTATTCCAGAGCCTGTTGTTGAACCCATTGTTGAAGTAACCATTGTGGAAGAACCTATTGTTGAGGTCACCACTGTGGTGAAAGAAGTTACTCCAGAGCCACAAGCGGAACCTGCAGAGGTCTCCCCATCACAACCTTTGTCCTGGTCCTCTATTGTATCCCAAACAACGGATGTCACTACACAAGTAACAGAGACACGAGTCACCGATGAGCCCGAGGATCAGAAACCTACAGAAGAAAAGCCTAAGAAGCAGAAGGCTAGGAAGGAAAAGAAACCTAAGGTGGAACCCGTTCAAGAGCCCGTCGCTGAGTCTGTTATTCCAGAGCCTGTTGTTGAACCCATTGTTGAAGAACCTGTTGTTGAGGTAACCATTGTTGTGGAAGAAGTTACACCAGAGCCACAAGCGGAACCCGCAGAGGTCTCCCCATCACAACCTTTGTCCTGGTCCTCTATTGTATCTCAAACAACGGAAGTCACTACACACGTAACAGAGACACGAGTCACCGATGAGCTCGAGGATCAGAAACCTACAGAAGAAAAGCCTAAAAAGCAGAAGGCTAAGAAGGAAAAGAAACCTAAGGTGGAACCCGTTCAAGAGCCCGTCGCTGAGTCTGTTATTGCAGAGCCTGTTGTTGAACCCATTGTTGAAGAACCTGTTGTTGAGGTAACCACTGTTGTGGAAGAAGTTACACCAGAGCCACAAGCGGAACCCGCAGTGGTCTCGCCATCACAGCCTTTGTCCTGGTCCTCTATTGTATCTCAAACAACGGAAGTCACTACACACGTAAC